GGACTATGTAATGCCAAGAGCCATACTCTATCGAAAGCGCCTACGATTACCATTCCCGAAGACAGCGCTTAAACCTAGCGGAAACTCAAATTTTGGAAGAAGCATGCAACGAGAGAGGAAAGGCATCGTAAACGGATAACGAGGAAGCCAGAAGTCGCACCTACTAGGTACGACCGGTACCTTTAACATGTTGATTCCTTTGGCGATGAGCAACGTCCCTCGACGGGAACATGGCTTATTGAGACCGAGATCGAGTGAGTGTTTCCGGAGAATAAATGATGTTAGGACAAGAGACCTAAGATGGGAAAGACTCTTGGACACCTTGATGGTTGGAAGATCAGGGTTCCCTGCTGTGGGCGTGCGATGTCTAATTGTGTCCCCCCCCCTTAGTAAAGCCGCTAGGCCGGACGGTCGCGTTGTCGGAGTTTCGGAAGTGGTTTACAAGCAACACCCACGATCACTGACAAGTACCACAAAATCCCCACTCCTCTTGACGAAAGCCAGTTTCAATGATGAAGATACACTGGCGATGCTTCTGATGACTTTTCCTTGCGGATCAAGTTCACCGTGACGCTGGATGCACAGTAGTGGTTGTTTTTGGGCTGATGCTGCGAAATGATTGCGTCCCTCCTCCCCCTTTTTGGCCTCGGACGTTCTTCTCTCGTTTTCTCCCTACTATGAGGCGGGATCTCATTTTAATGCAGCCAAGACTGGCCTCCCTGTACGTCTCCCTCCATTTCGTAGCGGAACGCTTCTCCTGTGGAATCAAAGCCACGCGAATCAAAGTTTTCCGGCTAGGGCCCATCTCAACTCATATGATAAGATCGACATCTCGTATATTTGTTTCACACCAGCATGACATTTATTCTACACGAAGCACGTTGCAAACGGGTAGCACTGAATTCCCGAGCTACTAGCGTGCATCTCTCGTGATCGAGATGAGATCCGCTGAATGGCGGAGGACTGGACGAAAGAAGTAATGAACGGCGAAGATGAGTCGCCAGAGTCGCTCTCGATCGCAGTTGCTACAGGTGCAGAGTTCCCCTCGTCAAGATAGGCGCTTGAGCACTGAATCATTCCAGCTTCAGGGGACTTTCAATGTGTTTGTCGCTTCACATGCGACAGAAGGGACTAATTTTGTCAGCCTTGTCGAGGCTATCGACTTTCGGGAACTCCGAACCTGCTTTTTCAAATGGTTTGCCGATGCACTACATAGATATTCTCCTTATTCTCTTCCCCCCGTCCCCATCAAAAGAAAAAGAAAAAAACAAAGAGGTATACTGACTACGTTAGAATGTGCTCGATCCGAAAGTTTGCTGCTCTTTCTGGTTGAGTGCTACATTCTTGCGGCGTCAAGTTTCTGTTTCTCCGTGAAACTGACTAGCACAGCTTTCACGACACAGAGCCGCGGACGTTTAAATGCCATAGCCGGTGAGCACGACACAAACTATATGTTATTCGTCGACTTGACCCCAACGGCTCCCTATCAGCTTAGAGATCGAGCCAAGTTCGCCCCCTCTGACATTCCGTGAGGTAAATATTCGTGATCTGCGCGTCCAGTAATGTCGGAAGTTATGAAACTCCCGGAGGTACATACCTTCTGTTCAGGGCCCTTCAGTATTCAATACGAACTCCCTCCGTCTCTCGCCCAGATATCAAACAACTGGCTTTGTCTACATTAAAAGAATCTCAAAAACTCGGTCGGTAAACTCAAGGTCCGACAAAGCACGGCTAATGTGTACCTTGTATTTCGAAACAAGGTGAGTACTATATTATTTCCTTGTATTATGAGCGTATTGAAATATTCTACTTTCGCCAACAATCTATCTAGTACCGACCCTGGAAGTGCTGCGTATGTTTTGGTATGTCGGCGGGTATCAGTAATAGTCCCCATCGTTTATCTAGGATGAAACCTGCGGGAAGCCCCGATATAGCCTGAGTCCGAGCCGAATACTTGGTACTGTATGCGCCACGACCCACGAGTAGGTGCACTGTCAGTGCTTCCGTGTGCGTGGGGTTTAAAATTCTAAATTCTAAACCAGTTATAGTAGCTTACGGCTCCAGTCGGGCCCAATGCCCATGAACGCGAGCCTTGCCGCACGGTTCCAAGCCATCCATTCCGTAACCCCCGAAAAACTATGCTGTTGAATTACCTTTAAACTCAGGATTCAAGGCAGTAAACGCCTTCCTCTGTCACGTTTACTCACTCTCACGGTTATGGTGCTCGTCACTCCAACAGCAATCATCAGAGATTCGACGCCTTGTGCAAGTTCTGTTCAGTAAAGGCATCATTATGCAACTCCATCTAATACTCGAACGATCCAATGTATTGAATTTGCCGACTCATGCACCCTAAAAGATGATCTGCATGACAGGCGAGATACGACTTAATTTTTCACCCCCTTATAAGCAATGTACAACACTATCTCTCTCCACCCTTCTCCAAGGTCTTTTTCTCCTCACAAGTTCCAAGTAATTATTTATCCTAAAGTTAAGCTGGCGTGATGTTTAACGGCCCACCAGCCACCAGCCTCCCTTTCAACGACGCTCTTGGGTATGTTCAAGCTCAGCCCATCGCGACGACCCTCGCAGATTCCTAATACTGATCCTCATTGCACAGTATCGCCCTCTGTCCAGAGGACATGTTGGAGAACAATGCGGGCGGCCCTCATGGCCTATCTCAGTGTTGTCCTCACGCAGTTTTTTGGGAGGACTCCATGCATCATGATCATCCCTGGACTTCGCTACCCCTCTCTTCTTATCCCAGATATATCCATAACGGTGTCCGTGTGCCAGCCCCGATGGCCAGCCACGATTTCAATCTTCTTCAGAGTCAGGAAGCTTGTGAAGGTGCTAGTAGTTATGTTGACGGTACGCACGCGTCACACTCACAGAACGGTCGTTCCGCCTCATTCCTTCTTGACAGAGCAAGACTACGCACGACGACTCCAACATGATTGTGGTTGGCGAATGAATGACGGACTTGTCAACGAATTCCCTGCTACTCTCGCACCACCCTCAAACGTCGACAACCGCAACTCACACAGCACCCCGGTATTTCCTTGCCCAGCCGTCGCCGCCAGTCCCCCAGGCCACTACGCGGACTACAACAACTCTCAGCCTAGTCCTTCAGATACTACAAATCGTTCCCCGAGCGTTGAACCAGAAGACACCACCCGGGAGAATCATTCAGAGTACCGCCAAACAGTCGCTTCTCCAAAAGTTGCCGCAGCCAATAAACGCCGTAGAAAAAAGGGAGCCAGGTCTTTTCCTTGTTCAAACTGTGAGGCAACGTTTACCACAAAGCAGAACCTAAACCGTGAGCCCGAGTCCCATTATCATTTGTTTTTTACCCTTTTCTCATCTATCCGCCTCCTGCTCACTGGCAGACCACCTTAATTCCCACTATAATATTAAGCCCTTTTCCTGTGATCATTGCCGGAGGCCATTCGGACATGCTAGTGACCTTAGGCGACACTTGAAGTGGAAAGTATGTCTCGCGGTCAAGAAAAAAAGTGCTGAAGAGTTCATCCACTGCTCTGGCCTTCCCGGAAGTACCATCAAGGGTAGAAAAAAACGTGGGGGTCGGTGATTGTCTTTGCTCAGGCTGTAGTTCACATAATTAATTCAGTATTTGACTATTCTTATAATTACTTACAGTTTTACTCTACTGATCTCGCCACCATCTTTGGTGGAGTTGTGTGTGTCCTGGGTAGATGTTTCGTAGATTTGCTGCTCCGAGGGCATAGCTTGCAATTAGACAATTACAGAAATCTCAGATTTGACGTTGTTCTTTCTCTCTGACTCGATATCGGGAGTTTTACTGAATTATTGGTATGCCGTGCGTGCTGTTTTGCTGATATTTTGTTTCCATCGGCGGCTAGCACGAGGCTAAGGTGGCTCCTAAGATCTGAGAACGGTCAACTTGTACCTGTTTCGCAGCTGTCGTGCCGTCAGGGAGGCGACCATCGCCTTGCTGAATCCACCCCCGCAAGCCTTCTTTCGCCTGCCAACAAGTTGTAACCGAAATAGAGTACACGTGGAACCGACATGAACTAGCCATTTTCTGCCATTTCAGTGATATTTACTCCAGGATCAACGTACCGGGATGCCGTATCAATGTACTTATCAAATACCCAGGGGGCTGTCTCCAGTGTGTCCAAGAGAGATGTGGTGTATCAACGCGAAGACGCCGGAAAGCCGTAAACGAGGGTGAAAACCTCTGGAATGACAGGAGAAATGGTGAAAGTATCGCAGTTCGTGTAGAGCATTTTCACGAAAAAGAATAACCGGGATTGACGTCGGGATGTGAATTTCCACGTGGAAAACAGCTCGGCCGGGGGTAGGCAGATTCTTGGCATGAATAAGTGATCCCAGGCTAACGTCCTCACTGCGGTCATTATTTTACCGTCCGTGGAACACTACAGGAGTCGAAGCAGTCGAGGAAAGGGGGAGGTATGGAGAAGATGTTGACTCTCAGGAATTAAACTTGAGCCACTGCGATCATTTTAGCCGGGTCGGATTGTACCCAACTATCCCAGCACGCTCACCCCCAGAAACATTCCTCCAGCTCTGATATTCGTGCTCGCCGACTGCATACTCGTAGAGAAGATTGTCCTCAGCCATTACACCCAATGTTCAGGTTGACCCGACCCTCCCCTTTTCCCACTCTTATCTAACTGCCTTTCCCTGAAAACATTGAATTCAGCCGAAACCTCTGAGGATGAATGAATTCACACCCTATTTGGGCAGAAGTTGTCTCTACTGACTAAAACCTCCCGGCTAAAAAGCGTACCCGACATCGAAGTTTTGTACTACCAACTTTCGGGGGCATTGAACGTTCAAGGGACGTTATAGCGGATCGACTGCTTTCTGTCACAGCTGAGTACTGATGTTGCAAATAATTCTGTTCCCTTGAGTTCTTTTCTAGAAAATCAGATTGTGGACTAGGGATGGCTTGATCCTGGCATGCTTAATTGTAAATAACTTTACCTTTTATATCCCTGGTAGTATATCGGTTAGTACACGCGCCTGTCATGTATCTAATACGCGCGAAAGCTGGGTTCGACTCCCAGCCAGGGAGTGGAGGGTCTGGTTGGGGAGACTATTTTTTAATCTTAATTCGGGACGTCTACGGACGGTGGGGATGAAGCTTTGAAAGCCTTTTTTCCCCTACTTTGCCTTCCAGAGAAACCTGAAGACTTGTAGGATCAGGATTATGGTCGTACCTGACTTTGCTCACCTCCAAACTATCACCATGATTTCTAGCCCTGGCAGCACTATGACTGGAGTTTCCTTGATCAATCATCCAAAACATACCATTGAGAAACAAACTTCATGCCCACAGACGATCCATGCCGTTGAAGAAATTCCCCAACTTCCACACCCGTTGGGTGTTTGGGCATCTTGAACAGCACAACGGGTAAAAAGATCATCGAGGTGTAAGGTTACTTGTAAAACGTCAAACCTCGGTAATGCATCTAGAGTATCATGGGGCCACGGGAGGGTATCAAAGGGGAGTATGACAACTCGAAAAAAAAAATCAAAAACTCACAAACACAGCGCTCCTGTGTCCACTGTCAGGACTCCGGTTACAATTCAATCATCAATGTTTCGAAACCGTAAAACCGGGAACGTATGTGTTGGTCACGGGGAATCAGAGCCTGGGGAACGTACTCGGTCCGAACCTTGTTTTTGGGACCTGTTTTCTTTTTATCGAAATCAAGCCCATCTTCGAACCGGGGTTCACCCCCGATTTCCCGTTTACCCTGAAGATAGATCAAGTACCTTTCAAGCTCCACTCGTAACCTGTGAATGAACGAGGGCGATTGAAGGACTTGATAACGGATGCCTTCAACGAGCAGCCTCACTCGTAAAAGATACGGCACTTTAAAGCATATTCGACTTCCAATGTCTAGCTCAGATTCTGGTGCATGGCTCTGATCCGAAAATACCTGAGGTCCCAGGGGGTCGGTCATGTACGTAGGATTCGTGGCTCAGTAGCTCCCAGCGGACGACTTCATAAAAGTACCAGCACTCCACGATCTTTAACTTTAGGATTTTAAGCATATAAGCACATAATATAAGCATAAGTAAGCCACAACTTTTACTCGCCGTAAACCGCGCCCTCGATGACGACGATGGCGGAATGCGCATAATACCTTGGCTGCTACTTCCTCCATTCGCCCGGCTGGAACGGGAAAAAACCCAATGGAGCTCGAGAAATGGCACAAAAGGGTTGAGAACCTGGAGGAACACGACTGGGCCACGGTCCCATGGTCAGCAGTTAATGGATCCGGGTCTAATAATTCCAATACCATTAGCGGAGGCAGAGGGTTTTGACGATTAAGAAACGATCTGTACGGATCTGCGAATTCCAGAAGGAAAACGCGGATGGTCCTGGTATGACTACGCCGGGTCCGACTTCAACCTATATACTACCATCCGATTGAAAACTTAAGTTTGAGCCTGCCAAGGGAATAGCTCTTTGTGCGAAAAGCTTGTAGACTGACCTTTGTCTGTGCTCGTTGCATTCCGTGACTAGCGGGTAACTTGTGTAAGAGCCTAGCAAATTCTGGAATATTCGGGGCAGCGGAGAGGCGAGGGAAACAAATCTGTTCGTGCGTGTTCGGCGATTAGGTTGGGTAAGCTAGCCATCATGATTGTTTTTGAGGAGAGGGAGAAAACGACCACGATCGTGGTTAAGACCACAAAGCCTCGCACCATGCTTTGCGCCGACAACTCCAGCGACGTGAAGAGTGCGGTTCTGGAGTGGCCTGGCCTAACCGACGAAGAGCTGGTCGTAGTGCTTGTAAGGTCTAGGTACATATTTCTTCAGAATCCTCGAGCGAACGGATAGTTCGAAAAAAGCTTTGGGTTGAATATACCTTATGACTATACGAGGTATAGTTTCACGGAATTTTCACAAGCTGAAAACTTCATTGTCCTCGAGAAACGGCCTGTGGGAGCTTTGTCGTACTTTCCTAGTCACCGTCGACCACTCAATTAGAATATACTAGCCTTATCCCGTCATAAGCAGTTACTAAGGTTTGAATAGTTAGAAGACTTGACAAATACGCATCAATCACGTTTCACGGCCTTGAAGCTTTCCACACGCTCCGTACAAAAGTCTCGGCTTTAAGTTTTACAATCCGGTTCAAATCGGCAATTTCCAGGAGCCTGGAGCTCGTTCCAGAATTACGGGACCTCCCTGACTAATATCTGCAAGTAATTAGTAGATGTCTTGAGCCGCGGATGGGTTGATGTGGTAAGTTATCGGGGGGTCAACTTTGATACGGATCTGTCGTTAGTTTGACAATTGAGCGTGAGTGCACAATGTTGCTAGGTGGCTCACCTCAAATTTCTGCATTTGGGTCGCGCTTCTACACTCGACAGTGTCCCGAGCTCATCTAGAATCGCGTATGGTGGTCGCTTCCTTCAATTCATGCTATGATCTAGAAGTTTTATTTACCATTAGCCGCAGATATAATGCGGCTGTTCCTCGCGTTCCCCCCCCCCCCCTCTCTTCGGAGGCAGCAATCATATAAGGTATGTCAAAGCGAACGTTGCTAGTTTGCGTGTGAGGCCTTGGTTTTGGTTCACATCGGAAGCTTTAAGAAGGGGAGGGAGCGACGATGTATTCTCTTTAATTTAGTGGGGCGGGAGGTAAATGCTATGCTGGAGTATTGAGATTAAGTGTTGGTGACGGAGAAAAATGAATAGGCAGGAGAGGAGGTGGCAGCTAGGTTGGAGTGACTCCAACGGAGGACGGCACCGAGTATTGATAAGCGAGCAGGTGATTTGATCTTAAAGCGGGGTTGTCCTTGTGATCTGGGGTAATAACTCCGGCATGTCAAGGCTGCCGAGGACGACGACACAGACGACAACGGAACCTTGAACGACCAGTCTGGCCATACTCCTAGGCAGTTCTGAGCTCAGTCTAGACGTATCTGACCGTTGTCGAGGACAACGACGAAAAGGGAAGGGAATACTCAAAATGGAAAGTATTCACGTGAGTCTCGATCGAGATCTGGAGTGAAAAATGTATAAAATCAAGTGTCACTTGACTCCAATTCCTACTTACACCTTTCTCCCTCTCACCACCATGTCAGACAACAACAAGCCATCTCTGCCAATTCCCATCCAAAGACATCGTTCCCCCTCCAGTTCTGGCGACTCTTACTCCTCCTCTGCTAGTGATTCTGAACCTCTCAGAACACCCGTCACCCCTTATTCTCCTCCAAAAGTTGGCCTTCCTTCGCCCGGAAGTTCACCCATCCTCTCTTACTTCCTTACTCAATCCCCCCCGACAAAAGCCACAACTCCTGGCACTTTTCCCTTCCGATCCAAGTTTTCTTCCACCGCAGCACCCGCATTTGAAGGTAACGTCACCCTCCACCTTCCCGTCATCATCCTCCTAACTCAATAGTAGAAGAAGATGTTCAGAATGAACCACACGCAGCACGTCATGCTCGTAGAGCCAGTACTACCGTAGCAGACCGGTTCACCCAACAACCCATTCCTACCACTCTTCCCGATAACCGACTCGACCGCGGTACCGGCCTTCTACGGAGGCTTTCCCTCTCAACCGCAGCTCCTACTCTGACCAGGGTGCGTCTTCTACCTCTTTACCTTTCTCTCATCTCACTTATTCCACCACACAGCCCGGTCCACCAGCCCCGCCGAACTCCGCTGTCTCCCCGACGAGCCCTGGGTCTCTTCCTCCATTTGCTGAAACAAAGACTAAACCACGAAGATCCAATACTCTCGTTACACCTAGAAGAGCACCTTCACCTATGGGTGAAAGAATGCTCAAGGGTCATTTCGATGGCTTCAATTAGGTGGAACTACCTTTTTTCTCGTTGCTGTACTGATACCCTGTAGCCATAGTAAGTCCCGTCGCTGTTACCGCTGCTGTCGACTGATGTTGACGGCTTCTCTGTTATTTGCAGGATGACAAACCATGTCAACCTTTTTTTTTTTTGATCATTAATTTGGGAAAAAACCTCTCGTCGCTCTCTGTACTTACTCTGATTCACCACATCCATCACATTTTCGTTCCAATTGTACTTATCGACTTCAAAGGTCTCAAAGCAAGGTCTTCATTATATTTTTTCCTCCGTTTAGTGTGTACCAGGTTAGCCGTCGTCTGTGGGTTCGTTTTGTGAACTTTGTATAGTATGAACGCCATACTTTGCAGTCTATGCATGATCGTTAATGCGTGCGTACATGTATGAAGTCAGGCTGGAAGGGAAGGCCTTATCTTAGTCTATCAGCTGCAGTCAGAACTTGCTACGGGAGTCATGGGCCCAACAGTAGGCACCATCGCAGTCAGATCGGTGGGAAAGTAGTTTATTTTGATGCAGAAGCTCATGAAAAGGGCGCTTTCTCCCCGTCGTTCATCATTGTATGAGTCATGGAATACAACGGTGATATAGGCTTTCACACAAAGTGCCAACTCTCGAGATTTCCCCGATCGGATGATTTCAGGTTGAGCCGGAACTGGTATTAGTACTTATACTCATCCGTCTTTGGGCTCGCGGTAGACCATCGTTAATCCACGTATGCCTACAGACGGGTCAGTGGACTATCGGAGTGATCCTTGTCAGTGGAGCCCTTCAACATTTCCAGTTACCATGTTGTTGAGCTCCATATTATGGAGGCTTCTATTTCCATTCCGTTCCATTTACAGCGTGGGCACGGTCGTTGGGACGCAGTCGTGGAAGGCTCAAAATGATTCTAAAGTTAGACACGCGGGGGGGTGATGTTAATTTGTTCGTTGTAATTTAAAAAAAAAAAATAGTCCCTACTGATGACTGAGAATCTTCGAAAATCGGATGCCTTGCTCTAGTCGTTTCAAACGTTCATCGGTTATCGGGTTCTCGATCGCCCTGGTTTTACTCACAGAACTTGAAAAGATACTTCGGGGGGGTCTTGGTGACAATCGAGGGTTAACTCAGGTTCGGAAACAGGTCCCAAGGCAAGGTACTCCGGTTCTCCATGCGCAGTTACAAGTTGTACCAAGTTGTAAAATGTTCGAGTTCAAGTTCCCGGGTTTACGGTTCTCCGAAGATCTGAATGTTG